TCACCCCTCAAACCAGTGCACAATTGACCCTCTACCACTCACCTGTGAACAGGAGGAGTTGAAATCCTAACATAAGTTCATCTGTGTGTGACACATGCAACTTAGTAGACAAGGTGTGGTCTATGGAGAGCACAAATACCTTAAATGGGTTATTACACAACAGCTATGCAACCTTGAGAAAGTTATTTAACTTCCCTGTACCTCAGTTTTCCTACCTATAGTTAGAACGATAATAATGTTCATCTTATATGCTTATTGTGGTGATTAAATGAGTTAGCATAAGTCACTTAGCTATCACCTGTAAACACTGTAGTAAGCATAGTAGCCATGGATACGTTTGTTCGTTTTTATCTTTATCACAGAAGCAAGTATCAGTGTATAGCTTTTTCTTTCATTTAGGCACATTCATGACAAATATGCTGATTGGAAATACTGTAACTTCATTAGAAAATCATTTTGGAGTGACAAAGCAGAGCTTCAGTAATTGTAGAGTCCAATTTAGTAGGCTGAACATGCAGTTGTCCAGGAGAATATTTGTTTGCTCAATATAGTCTTATGCTTTTTTTTCTGGCATACTTTGAGTAGTATTGCTTTTACTCTCAGCAGAAAGTCAGTCTAAATGACAGAGATTATGGTTTCATTATAGTTAAGAAGACAGAGCTGCTACCACATTGTGTGGTGGCCAGTGGCCCTTTCCAGGCTCTTGCTGTTCCATTTGAAGGACTGGACGGTACTGCTGACGAACACGGAAGTCTAACATTTATTTAAAGGTAAAAAGAAAGATAAAGAGGAAGAAAAACAAGTACTCCAAGGGAAGAAGCAGTGCTCTGAAGACAAGAGAAGATATGCCCCACTCACAGGACGGGACACTGCAAGAAGAAGAGGGCAGCGGTACTGAGGTCAGTGGATGCCGTCTTCTACTGAGGTCAACACTGGGCTGTCAGAGGCTGCTCTGCACACGCATCCCGGCTGTGATTCGACAGTTCTCCTTGATTGACAAGCTGTGCTCTACTGTCCAGCCTTTCTGCAATGCTCTACTCTCCTTCGCTAGAACTGTGTCACTAGGACAGACTTGGCCAACGTTAGAACGTAGCTTTTTGTTACCTATGAGAAGTTGAAAGAAAATGTTTGTTTTAATATTACAAATACTGTTAGCAATTTGTAGTTAACGCACTAGTCCCTTTAAAAGCACCATATTTACAGAATGCTTACTTTGAGGATGGGGCTTTGCACAAAACAGAAAGTTTCCTTCCTCAGGAAACTCCCCTTTTTGGGAAGAAGACAGATAACTAACAAAGCCTAGACAATATAAGGCCCACACTAGGTATTCAATAAGTACTTTGTCCTATTTTTTAAAATAAAATATGATTGACTTTCACAAAGTCAAAGGACAACAGGAAAGAAATATCTCAATTTTATGCCAAGAACAAGAATGTCTGTCTGGCTCCCGGCCTTGCACAAGGCAGCAGAGACCAGCCCCTCTCCCCAACTCCAACCCTTCTTCCAGTTCACAGGCTGCCTCAGAATTTGGCTTCACACATGACCATAATGTCTTTTGCTACCACAGCTCCAGAGTTTCCAAATGCTGTCAAATGAAGTCGATAGTTCCGCTTCCTACAACTGATGTTAAAATCCTGACACTCCATGTCCAGGGAGTCCAGTATCCTTTAATGAAAAGGTTGAGCTAACATCTGACCTATTGAAAAGAAGAGAAATGGGGAACAGGGTGTCCTTACTGGAGCGTAGGTCCACACTGCATGTTTTGCCAGGTTCCTAGATCCAGTATCTCTCTTTTCTCAGCTGTTTCCAACAATGCTGACCTTGAAAATTTCGTGATTTTTGCAGAAGTTATGGGAAACCGTTGAAAAGTATAAAGCTAAGGAACGACATGGCCCAATTTAATTTAAGAAGTCTGTTCTGGAGGTTGTATAGATAAAGGATTGGACAGGAACAAGAATAAACTTAGAAAGGTCAGTTAGGAAGTTGCTGCCACTGTCTAAAAGCAACAGGGTAGCTTGGACCAGCGTGATGACGGTGGAAACTGGAAGCAGTGGAACAAGCTGAGGTTTTTGAAAGACTTGCAGAAGAATTGTGAGAGGTGAAACAAGGAGAAGTGACAAAAAATAACTTCCTTTACAAAGTATTTGAGCCACTGAGTTCTCTTTGAATATATTATACTTGACTATGTTTTGACATTCAAGGAGAAACATTAACTAGAACATATATGACGGAGGTTTTTGAAAAAGTTTGAGTTACTATGCAAATTTTTATTCACCAGTAGGTAAATGATAAAGTCCATGTGTCCTAATATAATCACCCAGGGTAAAAGGGATGGTGTCAAGGTGGGACCCAGGACCACTTCACATTTCAAGTATAGATAAAGAACAAACACAGTAACAAACACAGAAAAGCAAAGTCAGGAAAAGCTGTAAAGTGTGAACACCAGGAAAGTCAAAGATAGAGACTGTTTCCAAAAGAAAGGAAGACACATATATATATTTGGAGCTTGGTGAAGTTAACATGCTCAGAAGGTGGTAACTTCCTGAACACGTCTGAATATAAAGATATGTGATCACTCACTCAAAGTCAAATCAGACCTTCTATATTACATAATATGATGCTAGCAACTCCTAACTTTAGGCACAAGGATGTAGCAAATCTAGACTAAGTCAGGATTATGGCTTTGACAGTCGAGTTTGAAAGGGTTTATCAAGGGCTGTGGATACAGTCAAGCACACGGGGCTTCTATGGCTGTGATCATGATAATGTAGAAAAAGATATAGATAAGAGGAAATTAAAGGAAAGTTCAAACAGATATAATGGATAGTAGGAAAACAAACTGTGATTATTACAGCAAAGCAAAAAAATAAAAAAAAAAAGCAATGACAGAGGAGAGGAAGATCTTATGCCAATAAGGGAAAGGATCTCTGGATGTATTGATGTTCTATAACTGCAACTTGGACACCGCTTGGCCAGCACATCCCCAATCTGTGTCACTGCCCAGCCCTAGATCACTACTGTTCTATTCTCTGTCTCTGTCTTCAACTTTTTAAAATTCCACCTGTAAGTGATAGCATACAATCTTTTTCTTTCTGTGTCTGCTTTATTTCACTTCATTTCTTTTTGAAAATGATTTTTTGTTCTTTAAATGTTTACCTATAATGTTTTCCTCTTCCAGTAGAAGTTATATCAGTTGTGGTAAAACAGAGGCTCTGAATGGGAGAGCGCTGCACAGCGACTTTGCGACTGCTTGCCTAGCACTGTAGCAAACCTTGTTTCTCTCTCGCTTGCTCTCATACACATGCGTAATATACATTAAATGTTATACACCTTGTGATTCAACAAAATAATTGTACTTAGTATCATACTGTTAAAATACAGTTATTAGGAAGCAAAATAATTTTACAGATTTCATCATGTTGCAGTACTGGCAAAATAGGTTGAATTACCTAAAACAGGCATTGAAAGAGATTCCTGTCATGGACAGACTGTTACAGGTATTAATTTTCTGCTACTGTCTCCCTACATTTCCTTGAACTTGGTGTTACTATTTGCGACATTACAGCTACCATGTTTTAAGCTTCTTCAGGGTAAAGAAAAACTACAGTAATTTTTCCCTTTAAGAGTAAAGAACCAGTGTTATGTTGTTATGGTAACCAAAGTTCTAAAATATTCAGTGAAAGGTAGTTCCACAAAAGTTGCCATGACTTGGTAATCATACAAGAAGAATACCATTTGTCTGAAATGCTTTTACTGTTAGGTGATTCTAAATATCTCCAGAGATGTTACAAAGCGTCTCTAGAAGAATTATTCCTTCAAAGACTGTGAGAATTGACAGCCCAAATATTTTTTGCTGTAAGATAATTCTTATCAACATTTCTCTGGATTTTAGCATATTTAAATTTATTTTCTGACAATTTATGCATGTCTAGAAACTTTTGTTTGCAAAAATGTATGCATCACTTAAACCTAGAAAGAGCTCCTCTAATATTTACCAACTGCGCTTATAGATTACATTAAGTGTGGTTTGGGTGGAGGGAAAAATCAATATTTTAGATCACATTATTCTTCCTCTACTGTCCACTTGATGTCACAAATATATGATGTAGCCATGTGTGGTGGTGCACGCCTGTAATCACAACATTTGAGAGGCTGAGGCAGGAGGATCGCTGTGAGTTCGAGGCCAACCTGGGCTGCAAAGTGAGTTCAAGGCAAGCCTGAACTACATAGTGAAAATCTGTCTCAAAAAGACAAAAACAAACAAACAAATAAACAAACCCCCAAATGTATGATTTATTTTATCCATACAAAATTTAATTTACATATCATATTATATATGTATATAATAATTTCTGTCAATTAGTTGTCCCATTCTATTTTTAAAAGAAATATGTATTGTGGTTGTCTATTGTTATTTCTTTCATATATGTGAAACTTTTAACTATAAAATAGAGCTATTATTGCTACATTATAAAAAGCTTGACCGGAAACTTTACATTTATCCCTGATTTTTGTAGCAGTACACAACAAAGACATCCCCAAAATAAGCATAGTAATTCTCGGCTGTGTTCTGAGCATGTGGATTTCAGCTTTAGAATCCATAATACTTCATATTAGAACATGATGAGTACCGGATTTGGTGACTATCAGAGTGATAATAGAGGTAGGGCCCCCAACCTTGGTGGTTCACAGCTGGGCCACCCCCAAGAGCCTCACATGCGCCTAGGTGAGGGCATGGCAGGGGATGGGGTTGTGGGTTCACGGCTGACTTGGGTTAGGAAGGGAGGTCTGTGGAAGGGGGCCCTGGGGCTGTGGCCTGGAAGGGTTTATCTTCTTCCCCGGCGCCTCCCTTCACTCTGTCTTGCTTCCTGCTACCTCTCCCGCCGTGCCCCTCTGCCGTGTCCTACCTACTGCGCTTAGGCAGCCTAGCACGGGCTGTAACTGTGAGTCACAATAAACCTCTCCTCTACGCTGCAGAAGCCCGGTACTTTTTCCCAGTGACAAATAAACCAAGATACTGACTGTGATGAACATATACGTACGTAGCCAGAAGGTAACCGTCATCAAAAATTGTTCAATTAAAATCTGAAGATCAGAAGGCAAACACCAGTTCTGGGGCGGTATAATGCTCACTGCTTTGTCTGCCTTCCTGCAGCAGCAGTAAAAGACGAACGTGAGAGGAGAAGCTAACGGGTAAGGAACCGCAGGATGAGGGGTGACTCACCCCCATGAAAGTCTTCAGCCGCTCCAAGAAATACTCATTGAGGTCATCGGGAAAACCACTGGCTTTATTCACAGAGGGACATACATCTTTTTTTTTTTTTCTTGTCTTGCACAGAAATGAGAAGGTAAAGAGAAATTAGCCTAAGTAAATAAATAAGAACTAGGCAAAACTGCACCTGGAACAGGGAACAAGTAGCACCTATGTTCACTCTTAGAGCTGTGTGTCCTTGTGACAGCCACTGAGCGCTTCCAAGGGGCCATCCGTGTTCCGAGGGAGGTGTCCACTCTCCAGAAAGTGTTCATTTCGGAGAGCTCCCTCCCCGGATTCTGAGAGGCAAGCTGCACGACTTAGGGTGTTTCATTGTTAGATGAAATATTTTTGGGCCTTTTGGTTCATTTTACAAAGAGATGCTCCAGTTACACCTGTTATTTTTAAATTCTGGAAAGTAAAAAGTAAGCTAGAAGTTGAACTTTAGGTTTTAACATATTTGTATTCTTTAAAAATAATCCATATCCAGTCGCAAAAGTATGCCAAACAGAAACACAGAGATTAAATATTTATGAACCCTATTTTCCTTTCATAAAACCTATTTGCACTTTTGGTCTATGCTCTTCCAAAGTTTAGTGACATATTTTTAAAACATTGTTCTTGCCAATAGCTAATTTTCTATATCAATGATTTAAGCTGCAATTCTTACTCTGGGATATCAGGCTGCTATAAATTCACCAATAAAGTCATCAGCCCTGTAGCATGCAGCTTTGTCTTTGTAATGTTATGTGCAAATCTAAATATTTTCAGAAATAATCTTATAGGACTGTACGTGTTTTCTACACTTTTCCAGTTTTTACAATTTCCTCTTTAAAAAATTGTGTAGTTTAATTTCCCACACTTCAGTTGTGAGCTTATATTTACATATCCAACAAATTCCACATCAAATTTTTAAATTCTGCATCAAATATATATGACCTTTGTAATTTAAATCTACATTATTTTAATAACTGATTTTGCTTTAATGATTGGTAGTATTGTTTTTAAAATTTTAATTTATGCCCTTAATCTATATTGTTTGTCAGGAACAGTTTAATATTAATATTAGTCCTTTGTTACCTATACTTTTCCCCCAAGCTTAGTAAACTTCTAAATAATGAATTTTTAAGTTTAGAAGTTGGCATTTGTTTTTTTAGCCCAGTTTTATATAATAATCAACCTTTCAAATAATTTCTGTTGTAAGGATTTTAAATACAAAAAGTGGTAAAATTCTCACTGTAATCTCAAGTAGGTTATCTCAGTTTTTCCTTTTACTGAGCAGAAACACACAGAAACGGTGGGGATTGGAAATAAGCCATCAGCAGGTACTGGGACCTAAGACAGAGCTTCCCGTCAGAGGTGAGACCAGAGACATGAAAGCTGCCCAGCAGGAGGCAGAGCCCTGAAGGACACACAGAAGGCAGAGGAGTCCGTGAAACAGGGCTGGGTACAGGAGTGAGTTACTGAGGGGGAGACTTCGCTCTTTCTCCAGCTTCCCTCCGTCAGCGCCTCCTCAGACGCAGCTCAGCAGGAAGGTGGCTGACACGGAACTTGTGAAGTAAGAGGTCAGTGTGGGCAAGGAGAGGAAATTCAAGCTGCAGGTGAAATGACAACACACACACACACACACACACACACACACACACACACACACACTAAGTCCTGGCATATTGGTGTATCATTGGATCTTTCTATTCCAGTAGTAATGATACAATAATATTTGATTGTTCTTCTTTTATTTTTGCTATGTATATATTGAACTTTTCTCTCATTTTGTAATTTTTTTAATATATTTTTGGAAATTTTTCCCCATTAACTCTTCTAACAAAATCTAGAATCAGTTTTTTCCAAAATTGTAAAACAATTATAATTAAATATAAAGCTTAAGGTCTAAAGAATAGAAACTGATTTAGAAGAAAAAAAGAACATGGATACTTAAATAAAATCTGTGGGAGCAGACTCTAAAGATGTTAATTCTGACCAAGTTAATAAATTTAGTATAACTCCAACAAAAACAAAAATACCATCTTCTAAGATATTTATAAAATAGTTCTGAAATTTATGGAGAAAGATGAAGACATTTTGAAAGAAAAACTTTAGATATTCATTACTGAATATAGAAATATGTTATAGAAAAATCAATTTCCACCATGCGTGTCTTACAAATGTCCTCTGTCTGAAAATGGTGCCTGGCATCTCCCAAGAGCAGTTCTTCATAGTTTCACATTGTGTATGGGAGAATATCCTTCTCTGGACACACACAGGCCATGTTAACAGGCTATGCTGACCGGCATGAGGCTAAATTACATGCTTTTTTCTAGGTTTGAGTTCTCAGATTGATGGGAGCAGGAGTATAACTTATCAAATGAAAATAAGAGCTCCAGTTGTGGGGAGATACTGAGAAGGTAAATAACAGTTAACCACTAAAACTTTGTCCTTGTATACATGTTATCTTCTTTTGTTGGTGAAATTGATTCAATAATTATCTATGTCATTGCTTTCTTTTCAAAGAATGAGTGCTTCGATTTAGTTGGAAAAACTTACCTTTCTAAACGTCAGTTTCTATCTTTATCTTAATAATGTTCACCTCCCTTTTTCAGTTTTTAATTTATTGACATTTTTCTCACTCCTTGACTGAATGTTATGTTTCTTATCTATTTACATAATAATTTTAAAATTACAATAAACCCAACTAGGCAATAGCATGATGGTAGATTAGGAATAATTATCAGGTGGATTCAGTGCTAGACAAATCTTAGCATCTTATTTCTTTCTGCTCTGCTTCCCCTTGCTGAACAATTTCCAAGTATGTGACTCATCAATACCAAGGGAGAGATATTTCATCAAATTCAAGTAGAAAGAATCGGCTTCCTATGAAATATGCAGATGAAATTGGCACCTTATGGAATAATTTTTGAACACTAAAGGTGATATGACTTAGAATCAGAAATTGGATATCCTTTGGCTTAACATCAGATAAGTTATAAAGTAAGATCAATAGGTATGATAGGCATATATAAATTTTCTCTACCAAAATAAAAATGATAATGAATCTAATTATTCATGTTGACAGGTGTTATTTAATATTCAATTTATACACTAGAGTTCTGTACTATTGTACCTCCCCTGTATTTGTGATTATTCCTCTTTAATTTATATGTGATATATTCCCTAGCTGCTCCTTAGAAAACAATAAATTGTTTATAATTCAGTGGTCACCATGGGCAGGATGAACACATCTAAGTAAAGCAGTTTATAATTCTTTTACACAGGCAGTTAATTTAACTAACAACAATGATATCCTTTGTGTCCAAGACAACAGGAGTTTCATGGAGACAACAGCTTGAAAGGGCTTACACACATATGTTTCCCAGTGACTCTGACATCACTCTTGCTGAATATTTCTGAGGAATTTCTCTGAATTGTTTTACCAGACATCACCAGGTCCTGTTAGATTTTTGTGCCCCAGAAGCTTATAAGCTTATATCCCCACATTTCAGTCTTCTGAATAAAATGCAATAATCTCATAGCAATGCTCTCCCTTTATAGTCCAGAAGTGAAAGATTTGGACACAGCTGGCTTTGCCTGTGAGTAAATGAGAAGACCCAAGATAAAAACCTTTCACTTCCCAGCACAGTCTGGCTAGAGCATCACTGAGGTTAATTTATAAAACAGAGTGCTGGTCGACCCTGATCATGCTCAACACATTAATCTTGTGTCTAAGTGAGAAACTGTGGAAAACTTTGCCTCGTTCACCTTATGCAAACAGTCCACATCAAACAAACATGAGGTAAAAATTAAAATCACATCCATAGCCCTGAAAAGTGGCTAAGAACAGAGCTGGTGGAAGCAGGTTTTTGGGGTTCAAGTCCAAGCTCTGCCCTACACAGCTCGGTGACCTTGGGTAATTTCTTCATCCTCTATGCCTCAGTTTCTGCACTTGTAAAATGTGAACAGTAATAGAAGCTGGTGACTTTTAGGTTGAAAGTGTTAATATAATATAGAGTAACAGCTGGGATTTTGCATTTCTTTTTTCATTACAGTACTTTCAGTTTTCCTTTCCCTTTAACTGATGTCTTGGGTTTTTATATAGTTGTAATATATAGTACCTGGGTACTTAAAGCAAGAAAACTGGCAGCTGAGAAAACACATAGGGAATCAGAAAAGCAAAATGATTTTAAGGCTCTGTGAATGGAGCAGTTCTCTGTCTTCAGAGGAGTGCATGAGATGCAACAGGGGCAAGGAGTAGAGTGTCTGATCCCCCAGGGGCTCAGATTCCCTTAATCTCTAGCTAGAGAAGGTAACTTGAGAAACCAGTAGGCAGAAGCATGAGGATGCAGTAACTCCTGGTGGACCAATCAGATACAGCAGGTAGGTGCGATTGCTTGGTCCAACCAAGCTAGACTGCTGCACGAGCTTCATGGGACTCTCAGGATGGTTACCCTGAAGTGCTGTATCTCCATCCGCTCCTGATTCCCAGCACCTCAGTTCACATAATCCTGCTGTGTGACTCCTCAGAGACAATCCCTGGTTGTGCACTCTAGTTTAAGAGTGGCAGAAGCAATGAGGCTAACTTTGCTGTTTTCTTGCCCATAATGTACGAGAGGGAGCTGCGGTTGCAGCCTTGATGAGAAACTAAGCATGATCCTGGACAAAAAATCCCTAGGGCAAAACCTCACGTGTAAGAAGTTCGTGACTTTTCCTACCATATGCAGGTAAACACACAGGAGATTGTGCAGTTCAGTTATTTCTAGCTACTGTTTTTCTTGCCAAAAGCGACTGACTACAGAGGACTTTCTTAATGTTATAGCACATGCTTACCCTTCAGACCAGAGAGGCAGAGAAGAGGCTAGAGGTTTAAAGTCTTAGCACACTGCCAGCCAGCCAACAAGTCTTTAATAAACGCTACTTGTTGTTTTATCACCATTCTTATTATGATTATTGAAGAGAAGGACAGAAGGAATTAACTATGGAGAACTTTTAAAGAGCTTTAGAGGAATCAAGTTTTTTACCTGGCATTATGTATTATAGTCTTGACAGAACCAGTTGGTACTTAAACCGAATGGAACAGTTTCACCAAAATAGGAACAGTTTGGAGACAAAGTAAAAATGTCACTGTCTGGGCATTTCTTTAGACCCCTGGAGACTCATTTCCACCTTTGCCCTCCATAATCCATTTAGTCCTTAACTCATGGGATTTCTCCAGTTGGTAGACACTTGTGGTTCCAGACCCACTTGACTTGGAATTTTGGCAGACACGTCTCATTTTATTGTATGTGGACGTGTTCACAAGGATTCAAGTTGTCTTTCAGGAATGGCTTATAAAGCACAACATTGTCCCCAGCACTGCCTTTGATAGCCCTAAGTGGGTCCTTAGGAAACAACCATAATAAGCCACAGAAAGATGGCCCTCCTCGGGGAAAAATATCTCTGCAGCAACAGTGCGGACTCCCCAGGATTACCAATTTCTTACCCCAGGAAGGTGAGAAATCTACATAGCCTCAGTAGAGACTCCATTCGAGGAACAATGGGCAGGGCTTTGATCATTCCTCCGTAGAGAAGATTTGGGTATGTCTACTCGAGCCCCACTGCCTCATGTTCACAATTGTTTGTGTTTAGTTTAATCCTTTCCTGTTGCTCTTGAAGGCCCCAAGTTTTAGATTGCATCTCCCTATTTCATCACAACTTGGGTGCTGAAAGTGGGAAAAACAATGAGGCGAAATCCCTTAGTCAATGTTCCAAGCAGGAATTTTCCTTCTGTGAGGTCACATGCCTCAAGCAATGGATCCTTCAGGAATCTACTTGGGACCTTATTTTAGGATGGTCTGCTTTGTTGATTTTTAAAAGTTGGGAGCAGGCAGACCTAAAAAGCAAAAATCATGACTTCTGATTACATCGTCTGATCCTCTCCTTATTGGCAGGGATAACTCCCAAGACCCCCAGTGTAGCCATACAAGACAAACAACGCCCAATCTTGTGGCTAAGGTGCCCTTTCATAACACTTGGACTCATGGCAAAGTTGAATTTATACATTAGGCACAGAAGGAGATTAGTAACAGTACTGAATAGTAAAATAGAACAATTATACCAGTGTATTATAATCAAAATGAATGTGGTCTCTCTCCAAATATCTTCCAGCACTGCACTTCCCCCACCTTCACCTTGAAATGCAAGGGACACAAGGTCGTGGTTGGCTGTGGGTAACTGAAACGGAGGACAGGGAACCGGAGAGATGTGGGTGGATGACTGTCTTCTCTTACTATCTTGTGCATGCAGACCTTAAGATTTCTCTTATAATATCAACTATTTCCTTAATAGTTTTATGGTAATTTGTAATTACTTTGTTGATTTGATTGTTGTCCAGTTTGCTTCATAAAATTGATGAGGTCACACACTAACTTTCCAGCTACTAATACAAAGTCAAATAGCAGTGTGTACTGTGCAAGATATAAAATGATCCTGGCCCAAGTACTTCGCGTCACATTTGGAGACAAGCAAGTGCATTTGGTAGTATTTTTTGATGTACAGGAGACAGTGCTTCTGCTCAGTACTGAAAAAACACCAGAAGTGAGCGCTAGTCCCTGAACTCTTAGGGGTTGTTTTCCCTTCTATGCGAATTTGCTTCTTTTAATAAGCTAAAAAGTGGTTCTCAGCCTTAAGTGCACATCCGAATCACCTGGGGAGGTTTGTAAACTCCCAACGCCCGGGCCATGCCCGCATTAATTATTCAGAATGCATATGCTTACAGTCCTGTGGCAGATTACAAAGTGCATGAAAATGGAGAATTACTGTGTATGTCTGTGAACACTCAGGTGTGTGAGAGGAGGCCCAGCATTGAGTTCTATTTAGGAGCAAATGAAGAAGCAAAACCGTGTTTTGAGAAGGCTCATTTGGCAGCGGGATGATTTTACACGGAGTCTGAGTGACAGCAAGGAGAGCAGTTACCGTACAGTGCAGTAGATAAGAGGCAAGCGGGGCCTGAGCTCAGGTGGTGGGAAGGGCGGTATGATAGGGGGCTCTGAGGGGTGCAGGAAATGCCTGTACAAACAGCTGTACAGATTCAAAAGACTCGAGGACCGATCGCGTGTGAATGCTGCAGAAGAAACTCCAGGTCCTTGACAACTGTGCCTAGCCTGAATCCAAGAGCAATTGGTTACCCACATGGGGTAAATTAACACTTTGAATGACAGTGTGCCAATTTGCAAATTACTTCTTTCAGAGCATTAATGACAAGAGTATAATCACCATGGCATTATTTTTATTGGCATTAGCGTTGATAAATATTTCATGAGCAACCAAAAATTACAGTGCCTATACTTGGAAGAATCTTGTTCCAAAATATGAAATCCAGACCTTGGACTATCACCACTGCCAAAATTTCTCTAAATATTTATAAATAAAGTAA